AGAGAGAGAGAGAGAGAGAGAGAGAGAGAGAGAGAGAGAGAGAGAGAGAGAGAGAGATAGCTGTTTACAAGTAGAAGTGAAAAGGAGGGCGTTCCTGGTCTTAGATGAAATATGGTCTCCATCTTGCTGAGGCCTTCTCCTCAATGGAGGAAGTCTACTTTAAAATATGGAAGGTTGGTTTAGGCTGTCTCTGGTTTCTAGTCTTGTCTTGTTTCCTTGTTCAGCTTCAAGAGAATGACTGGGATGATCAGAAAGTTTCATGAGGTGGGGAAGGGGATGAGAGTGGGGATGGAGGTAGATGGCAGGGTCATAAAGCAGCTTTGCAGTCAGGGACTTTTTGACTCTACCTGAGAAACACACCATTTACCTTTTGGCTTTTCCTCTTGTTTCGGAAGGTGCCCCCCAGTCACCTCCATCCTTTCCCTGAGCCTGGTGTGTGTTAGGTTCAGAGCTGAGGAACCACTTTGCTCTTAGATCTGATTGTTCAAGTCCTGGGATCTGAGAGAGAAGTTGAAGAAATGGGAATACGGGTTTTGTTTGTTTGTGGCACTCTGGAGGCCTGGGTTGAAATTCCAAGTGATGGTTTTTAATGTATTCATAATACAAGTAGAGAACCCTTTTCTTTTCTCATTTCTTAAAGGTGGGAGGGAGGGATTGTTGTTATGAGCAGGAGAGAAGAAAATAGGGCAATGGCTATAGTAATTAAAGCTTACCAACTTGAACCGTGAAAACATGTTATGAGGCAGGGCGGTCTGTCACCCCTTAGGACGTTTCTGTTGCCAGCACCCTGCACTGTTTCTCTGGAGAAGATGTGACCCCTCTCTTCGGTTTGGGGGAGAGCACCATATATGTATATATGCCTGGCTTTGGAGTGGGTTTGAATCCTAGCTTCCCTGCTCACAGACTGTATAACTTGTCTGGAGTCTTTAACTTTCTATTTCCTCATCTGTAAAATTAGGTAAATAATACTGTTCACCTCGGGGTTCTTCTGAGATAACTGTGCTGAGCACTTTGTGTAGCACTAAGAACATGGTGAGTGCTTGAAGTTCGCTTTCATGACTACCCATGGCATGTAGAGGAGATTCCTGCCTGGCATCTCTGTGATATGCATACAAATTGAAGGAGGGAATGGACATGGACGATTTTAGTGAGCAAGGAAAGAAAAGCCGCATGTTACAGGAAAAGTAGATTACTCTAAATAAAGATGTCGGTTCTATTTGTCCATCTTCAACTGTTGTGTGATGGGAAGAGCAAGAAGACCAAACCTCTTTGCGTGGGCTTTACCGCCATGACAGGGGGCAGCTCTGCAGTGGGCGTGGCAGGCCAGACCAAAGATGTCAGATCAAAACCAGGATTTCTGTAGGCCATGGATTGTGTGGTTTAGCTGCCTGAGTTTACCAGATAGTTAACATTTATCTTTCTTTATTTTTGTTGTTTGTGATCTAGACTTTGCTGGAATATTTCTGAAACATATTAAGAGTAGTTCTGTATGAGAATTCTAAAGAAAAGAGAGTATGGAGGCTAAGTGACTTTGGATCAGACAGATATAGCTATGAATAACAATCCACTTTTTTTTGTAAGTTCTGATACCTCATTTTGCTCATTTGTAAAGTGGAAATAATAAAAGCATCTACCTCATTGCACTAGTAATATGTGGAAAAATCATATGACATATATAGTACAGTGTCTCATCCAGAGTAAGGCTTCACTAAGTGCTAGCAATTATTGTGAATGGCTGATATGGATGTCTTTGAACATAATGATGTCTAGAACAGCGGGCAAATTATTAAAGCTGATTATGTAAATAGGAATAATTGGTGGGTTTAAAAAAAGAAGAGCTTTCTTTCATCTTGCCTAGAATGGCCTAAGAATCGTCAGGACATACACTCAGCTGTTGATGGTTATTAAAAATTTTTAGACAAATCAAGGGCTTGTTCTAAATAGGTTATGTTTTTATCCCTATAGGGTAGGATCTTAACCAGGGACATTTCTGTCTCTTAAAGGGACGTCTGGGAAGTTTATGGTTGTCACAATGATGGGAGGTTTTAGCATCTATAAATCGCACTTCACTTCAGAATAGTAAAAGGGGTAATACTTGATTTAAATATTTGGGGCACAGGGTCTGATAGACTTGAAAACCACTTCTTTAAAGAGTAGCTAATGATAATAGTAACAGCTTTGCTATAATAATATGATGATAATATTGGGTTGCCAGATTTTGGTTTGGCAAATACAGGAAGAAGGGGTGCTAAGAGCTCCCTGACCTTGTGTTCCAGTGTAAGCCTGTAATGGGCTGGAAAGTTGAAAACAAGGACCAGAGGCTGCTGTGGGGATTGCCCGTCATCACTGTTTAGACAATATCCATGAGGGCCCCTTGATTCTGAATATTTCTAGCTCTCATGTAGCCTGGGCCTCTGGTGACCCTGGGGTCAGCTGGGATGGTCGTGTGATCACTGTTGTTTTCTGCTGGTTGCAAAATCATGTGTTCACAGGATGTCCTCGTTGGCTAAGCTGCCTCCCCAAAGCACATTCCTCTACACCCACTGGATTGATGTGGGAGGTGTCTGCCCATGTTCTCCTTAAAGAAAGCATGTTTTGTCAAGCTTGCTGCCTTTGGACTCTTTGGCAATACTATAGAGTGTTTGGTGATTGCACCACCAGCTCAGTCAGATTTTCTCTCATAGGGTGCTATTATTATTAATAATAATATTTTAAATAGCATTTCTTTTCAAGTGATGGTAATGATAATAGTAATAGTGGATTTTGTGAGCACACACCATGTACCAGGCATTGTATGAAATGCTCTCATGCTTGCAAGAACTTCCTGAGGCAGGTGTCTTAATTTCCATGTGGGAAACCTGAAGCTTGGAGACTTCAGTGATGGAAGCAGAAGGTGAACACACATGGGTCTCACGGGAACACCTCTGCTTTGAATCGCTCTTTCTAACCTGTGTCTTAATCCTAAACCATTGGCTACAGGAAGATGATGCCATTTGGAAAGTTATGATGTTGCGTTTATCCAATCTCAAAAGGCCAAAAGCCTTGGCATGTGTCATAGAACCTCAAACCCAGTGAAAGACTTATTGTGGGTCCCTGGGCTACGCACATGTTGAGGGGTGAGGGGGAACGATGTGTGGGCTGTCGTCCTTAGGCTGGAGTAGGCAGCCTGTTATCCGGTAGCTGAGGGATGCCAGCCAAGGTCAGGAGAAAAACACGGTTCTCCTGAGGATTTGCTGCCTGGATCCTTTCCCATATATATTTTTTTCCTCTGGTCAAAGTTCAGGGCTACAATTCCTGCTCGTTCCAGTCAGAAAGTTGGCAGCTTGATCAATGATTTCCTGTGCCTTGATGACAAATGGTTTTCCTCTAAGAGATAAGTTTGTATTTTGAAGATTTCAGTAAACTTTTATTTCTTTATAATGGAATTTCATTCAAATTAGTTTCCTCACTGTGACCTGTTCCAGGGCTCTTGGCCAAAGTAAATTGTGCTCCTGAGGAATAACAGAGACTTAAGGAAAATCACGTGCTCCGAAATTTCAGTCATGGATGAGGCCTTAGAGATAATCTAGTCCAGACTTTTCATTGTATAGGTAAGGAAATGGCGTCCCGGGGAGAGAAGAAGGAACGTGCCCAGGATCACGTCCTCATTTCTGGCTCTTTCCTACTGAAAGCGCTTCCACTCAAGAGTGGAAGGATGGTATCAGTTACTTTTTCTAAGATTTACCATGTCAAAAACTTGTCAACAAAATGCCAATGCATACGAGACCGTGGATTGTCAGTAAATATAGACCCTATTAGAAATTTTTAAGAATTTTACTTTTGTATACTAGAAACATAGGACATTTTTTTTCCCTTTTAAACTAGGAAGCTCTATAGTTTGTAAATAGTCTCTGTTTTTCTTATAAAAGACATACATGTTTAACTTGTAGAGCAGGGGTTGACAAACTATGCTCTGTGGGCTAGATTGGTCCACTGCCTGTCTTTGCAAATCAAGTCTTATTGGTGCACAGACTTGCCCATTCACTCACTTATTGTCTACAGTGGCAGATGTAAGGAGCTGCGTTGGAGACTCTGTGACCCAAAAATCTAAAATATTCACTATTTGACCCTTTACAGAAAAAATTTGCCAAATCCTGCTGTAAAACATCTGGAAAAAAAAGAAAGAACCCTATAAAAGTAACACTAAGAAAACAAGTATCCCTATCTCACCCTTAGGGACTTAGGTTGATTCTAATTTTACCGTTCTCATGGCTAACTATTTTGAAAATTTCTGATTATTTCCTGAGGTTGTATTCCTACAAGTGGAATTACTGAGCCAGTGAGTGGGAAGCGTTTTTAGGCTGTTGGTATTCGCACTCCCACCATCAGCCCCTGGACCTTGTCAACATTAGATAAACAAGACCTCCTTTGCTAATGGATTTGGTTTGCTCTCACCAATTCAGGGGCAGGTTCAAGGCGGTGGTCTGCGTTCTGTCTGCAGTTACAACATGTCTGGCGTTTGTCAAGCCTGCCATCAACAACATCTCCTTGATGACTCTCGGGGTTCCCTGCACTGCCCTGCTCATTGCAGAGCTAAAGAGGTGGGTGCTGTTCTTCTTGCTATCCCTTAGTCTGTCGCTGTGATAGGGACACACCATCTCCAGGAACAAGGAGCTGGTGTGGAGAAGGAGTTAGACTCTTCATGAAGAGGTAGTTCCTGACTGTTGGATGGAAAGCAGGCTTGATGATTTTGTTCAAAATGTTAATGATCTCATTTTCAGAAACAGGGGAGCAGCTGTTTAGTGGGTGCAGCACATCCCAATGGTCCAAAGCTAGCTAAGTAGGAACATCTCAAGGACCTGTATGCCCCTAGCCCAAGCTGCCTACACTTAACTCTGTAGAAAGGAGAATAGATTTGTTCAGATGACAAGAATAAGGAGAAAAGGTAAGTCCTAAAAGAGGTGGTTGCATTTACACAGAGAAGGAAAAAGAAATGAATTTCTATATACAAGACAACCTTGACCTAAGGTGTAATACTGTTGACTCTGCTAGTTTCTCTGAGACCAAGTTTCTTATTTACAACCTATTAAGTAAAGCCTTTGCTATTTGCACAAGCATTTTCCTTTGGGAAATTGTATACTCAGAGTTCATGTTGATATCCAGAAACATTTTAGTTCTTGTATGTACACTATTATCTTCTAGCCCCAACTAAAATACATCTGACTACTGCCCTTATTTTAATAATCTTTGAAAATGCTACTTTTTTGTGTGTGTCCACTTTTAGAAATACATTTTAATTCATGACTCTCATTGTTATGGACATGGGGTGTCTTAACTGAAGTCTTGTATCTGTCTTCCTTTGTGAGAGTTGCTGTGTATGTGTTAGTCAGCTTTCTCTGTCTTGGATATATACATACATACACACACACACACACACACACACACACACACATTTCTTTCCGTTGCTTTGCCTTTGGGGGTTGCTTTGATTGTCAGCAATACCAAGCAGGGTCAAAGGTGGTTGAAGAGGTATTTAAACATGGAAGGACACTGTCAGGTCCTGTCTTGTTGGGTTTTGTGAGAAGCCTTCAAGGACTGGGGAATTAAGAGACTCATTTCAGAACGCTAACAGATCTTGAAGCTCTTAGGAAAACACACAATAAAATACCTAATGAAGACATCTGAAATGGATTTGTAATAGTCAGCCTAGTGGTTCTGGCTTATACTAGGCCTGAAGTGAATAGAATGTTCTGGACTTAGCTGTGTTTCTTGAGAATTCACTGCAGTCTAGTCCTTGTAACTCTTGAGTCGAATAATATATTTTAGCTTATAGTTTTATTAAAAGTAGTTTAAGGAAAGGGAAAATATTTTTAATTCATAATATGTAAATAAGAGCAAATGGGGGAAGACAAGTGGTTAGGGTAGATTATTTCATAGTTTAAATAATTCTGCTTCACAATTGTGATCTTTAAGCAGGAAAACATATTTTCCCTTAATACTCTAATCTTCGTAAGTAGTTATAAAACACATAATTTTAGTTCCATATTTAAAATCTTTGTCCCTAAAAAGCTAGTCATCACTACTAATTGGTCTTCATCATTACATTAGCAAATGCAGCATCACGGGAAATATCCCTCCTTCCATCTAGGGTAAGTCTTTGTACCTATTGATTATTTCCTCCATTCTCCTATACCTACTTTACTCCTGTAAATTGTCTACTGTGTCATCCCTCTCTCTCTAACGGGTCCTTCCCATTAGCCTGTAAAAATGTTTGAGTCTCTCCATGTTTTCTAACAGTCAGCCTGGACTCAATCCATGTCTGTCTCCAGCCACCGCCCTTTATCTCTCCTGTATGTCACAGCCAAACCTCTTTAAAGGTTGACTCCATCCTTCACTTCTCATTTGCTCTTCAACCCACTCCTCTCTGGGTTCTGCCCCTACTTCAGTACCCAAACCCATCTTGGTTGTACAGTCAGTGATAATTTTTCAGCCCTCCTGGGTCTTATGCGTTGTTCTCTCAGCTGTTTGCACCCCCCTCCCCCCATTCTTGAACTGTTCTTTTCTGTAGCTCCTGTGACGCTACACCCTGCTGGGGTCCTAACTCTACACCAGCTTCTTTTAAGTATCTCCTGTAAACTCCTTTTCTATGCACCTTTGCATGTGTGGATCCCTTAAGGTGCAGTCTCACCTGCCTGCTTCCCCCCCTCTGTAGTTCCTTCAAAATACCTCATCTACTCCCATGGCTTTAATTACCGTACGTATGTGGGTGACTCCCAGATTTATGACTCTAACCCAGTACTTGTTTCTGCCCCCACCATTATGTATCTAGCTGCCTACCTGACCTCTACAACTCTCCATGTCACAGGCATTTCCAGTTCAATTTGTCCAAAACCAGATTCCTGATCTGCCTTTTACAGTATTGGTTCTCTTAATAGTTCCAGCCACAGTAAATTGAGCATCATTTACCTAGCTGCTCAAGCCAGAAGCCTAACTTCCTCTTCCTTCCACCCCATCTAGTCACAGTCAGTTTTCTATTAGTTAACACTGCAATTACAATCAAGTTCAAAATCCTCAATATGGCACCTGCCTGCTAATCTCTCCCTCATGAAGCTCCCCCTTATATTCTGTCTTCCAGCCATTCCAACCTTCCATGTCTCCAAGGTGGCCTAGCTCCTTCTGGTTCATGTTGTCCCTTTTTTCGGACCCTCCTGCTTGGTTCCCTTCTCATCCTTCAGGTTTGGGCCCAACTGTTAATATGCTCTCATAGCACCCCAAGTTCTTCTTTATTGGCACCCATCCTGACTGTAATTTAAATAGTATTTGTGCTGTTATTTCGTTCCTCCACATGGTCAGGGACGAGGTCCCTGTGTTCACTGTCACGTCCCAGTTCTCGCCTGAGTCCCAGCGAGGAAAGAGAAGATGGTTGTTGACCTGCTGTGATCCAGTTCCCAGCCAACAGGATGCCCTGTTCCTCTTTGCGTCTCCCTGCAGGATCTTCCCTGCTTGTCAGCGATGAGCTATCATATCTCAGCTAATGTTTCTCACTGTGCCTCCCTTCTGATCAGAGGAAGTAGGGGAGGGACTGTTTTTCAGCTTTCTCTTTCTCTTTAGCCTCATTCCTAGAGCTAGTCTTTTCGTATTTTCATTGTCCTTTCTGAACCTTCTCTCAGACCATGAGGAAACAAAATTTTATTATGACTTGGGGTCATGACCTGACATTTACTGAAATTTGTGGTGTTGTCGCATTACCAACTGACTCAGCTACATCTAAAATATTTTAAAATAGATGTTTTTCTGATTATAGGAGTGAGTTGATAAGAAAAACGTTGAGAATACAAAAAAAGAGCTCAAGAAGAGGAGAAATGGCAGATATGCTCTCAGATTATTCTGTCCTAAAATAGGGTCCTGCTTTTGTCCTGTTTTTCCATTTAACCTCACATTGACATTTTGATAGAAGCCCTGAAAAAAGTGGGAATAAAACCTAATGGAGCCCAGGTTTGGACAAGTCCCAAGTGCAAATGAGCCTGGTCAGTGGCATATAGCAGGGCCTGTGCCTCTAGAAACAGGAAGGGACAGTCCCAGGCTTCCCTGCGATCCTGGCTCTGCAGTGTTTTTTCTCCCTGGTTCATAGGTGTCAGCCCAGCCCTGCCTCCATGTGACTAATCACCTGACATTCCACCTCACTTTTGCCACTTGACACACACTCTGCATCTCTAGCTCTCTGTGGGGGTGTGTTCCTTAAGCCAGACTGTCTGGGTTTAATTAAATTGAATATACATATGAAGTGTGATCAAACAATACGGTGAATGTTTAAATAAAAAAACTTTGTTACTGTAAAAGACACAATGCCATTCATCCCCCTCAGAATACTCCCCCTCGCTTCGAACACACTTATCCCATCGTTCTTTTTTTTTTTTTAAAGATTTTATTAGGGAATTGGGGGAGGGGAACAGCGCTGGGGAATATGGGGAAGGGGAACAGACAAGTTGCTGTCGTTTTGTACTTCAGTCTAGTTGTGGAGGAAGTTGCTTCACTGGCCCAAGTTGGCATCATCATTGCGCTCTTCCCGGGTGAGGCAGATCAGTCACCGGCTTCTGGATGGCCGCTCACGGCAGCTCTTCACAGATCACATCGGCTGCCGGCCACTCATGCTGGCTGCTGGCCACACACAGTAGCTTATGGCAGCCCACTGCAGCTTCACTGCAGCCTACGCCATCGCCAGCGACTCACGGCAGCCCAGCTCCAGGTCGAGCTGTTGTTCACCTTCTTAGCTGTAGAGGGCAGTGTCACTGGCCCTCATGTGGGATCCGAACCAGGGCCCTGCTGCTCAGAGCTGGCGTCCCAAACCAGCTCTTAACCAACGCACCACTCGGCCGGCCCTATCCCATCGTTCTTGCCACTCTCTGAAGCAGTTTTGGAAGTCCTCTTTCGTGAGTGTCTTTAGTTGTGCTGTTGTGGCTGCCTCGATGTCCTGAATCATTTTGACTTTGGGGAAGAGCCAGAAGTCGCACGGTGCCAGATCCAGTGAATAAGGTGGATGAGGACACACTGTAATGTTTTTATCTGACAGAAATGGCCATATACCAGAAGCGATGTGTGACACGGAGTGTTGTCATGATGGAGGATGATTTACGGCACACTTTAAAACACACCGTCTCTCCACTGTAGCTCACACCCAATTGACTGCACCGAACAAGTTGAAACTTGTCACACACTGTTACTAAGGTTCGATGCGCTGCTTCCCTTATTGAAAATCCCTGCCTTTCCATTGGATGGCACTTGGCAGCAGCATTCACCATATTTTGTGATCACAATGGAAAGGCTCTGTGTCACACATCGCTTCTGGTATGGCAATTTCTGTCAAATAAAAACATTACGGTGTGTCCTCATCCACCTTAGTCACTGGATCTGGCACCGTGTGACTTCTGGCTCTTCCTCAAAGTCAAAATGACCATTAAAGGCAAACGTTTCAAATGGATTCAGGACATTGATGTAGCCTCGACAGCTCAACTAAAGATACTCAGAGGGGCGGGCCGAGTGGCTCAGTTGGTTAAGAGTTAGCTTAAGAGCACAAGCTCTGAGCAACAGTGCCGCCGGTTCGATTCCCACATGGGCCAGTGACACTGTGCCTGAGCTGAGCTGCCAACAGGTGGCAGGATGGCTCAGCTGGTGAGAGCACGTGCTCCTAACAACAAGACTGCCTGTTCGATGCTGGGCTATACCCGCCCACAACTAGGACTGAACTCAGTACCTTGAACTGAGCTGCCACCTGGATGGCTCAGTGGATAGAGCATGCACGCTTAACAACAAGGCTGCCAGTTTAACTCCCTCATGGGATGGTGTCTACACCTACCCGCAACTAAGATTGTAACACAGCACCTTGAGCTTAGAGGCCATGAGCTGCTGACGGGCAGCCAGATGGCGACTGGCGCCCTCCACAACTAAGACTGAAGAACAACAACTTGGCTGGTTCCCCTCCCCAATCCCCCAATTAAAAAAAAAAAGATACTCAGAAAGAGGACTTCCAGAACTGCTTCAGAAAGTGGCAAGAATGATGAGATAAGTGTGTTTGAAGCGAGGGGGAGTATTTTGTGAGGGGTAGATGGCAATGTATCTTTTACTGTAATAATTTTTTTTTATTTAAACATTCACCACACACACACACACACACACACACACACACACACACACACACATATATTTAATTTTATTGGGGAATAGTGTTTTTCCCAGGACCCATCAGCTCCAAGTCAAGTTGTTGTCCTTCAATCTTAGTGGTGGAGGGTGCAGCTCAGCTCCAAGTCCAGTCGCCTTTTTCAATATAGTTGCGGGGAGCGCAGCCCACCATCCCATGTGGGAGTCGAACTGGCAACCTTGTTGTTAAGAGCACGTGCTCTAACCAACTGAGTTATCCGGCCGCTCACTGGCAGCTCAGCCCAAGTCATTGTCTTCAATCTAGTTGTGGAGAGTGCAGCTCACTGACCCATATGGCAATCGAACTGGCAACCCTGTTGCTCAGAGCCCATGTTCTAATTAACTGAACCACCCAGCCGCTCTTCACCATATTTTTTGATCACACCTTGTAGATCCTCTTGTAGCAGACTAATTGCCTATATATTTGTTGATACTTGTTTCTGTCAGTTTTCATTTTACCTGTTAAATCGCAAGGCTAGAGGCCTGTTTATTTTGCTTTTTATAGTGCAAAATAAATTGTCTATATAGTTGACCTGAACTTGTAAAAGCATGGGATGACATTTTCTGGAGAGGGCTGGGAGAAGAACAGGGTTGGGTGGGGTGGGGGAATGTTAGGAGCTCATATGGATGTGTTAAATTTAGTGTATAATTGACATCAGGTGGACATGTCAAGAAGGTAGAAGTGAGTCTGAAGTCAGGGAAAGCCCCAGGTGAGAGGTATGGCTCTGTGGGTCATCTGTGTACATGTGGTATTCACATCACAGGCTTGAGGGGTGTGATGGTATGTTGGGTAGGAACTCCAGTGCCAAGGGTCTGGGGAGAAGTGAGGAACCAGAGACGTGGCCAGTGAGGTGGGCGGAAACCAGGCCTGATAGCGAGTTGCTGTCTGGATCTCATGCAGGTGTGACAACGTGCGTGTGTTTAAGCTGGGCCTCTTCTCGGGCCTCTGGTGGACCCTTGCCCTCTTCTGCTGGATCAGCGACCGAGCCTTCTGTGAGCTGTTGTCGTCCTTCCACTTTCCCTACCTGCACTGTGTGTGGTAAGCCCCTGCCTGTGGGGAGTTGGCTGCACTCCAGGGCTCTGCACTTTCAGTTAGGCTCCATTCTCTTAGCAGGGTGCACAGGTGTGCCCAGGGGACAGAGCAGAGCCCCAGTGCCCCTCTGTCCTTGCAGAGACCGTCAGACAGTTCAGAAGCAGCAGAAAGTATTGTCAAAAACAGAACGGGCTCCAGGGAGCTGGCTTAGCCAGAACAAAAAGACCTAATTGTTTATGCTTCAAGTCCTGGGCCCCTGACCTCTAGCTCCATTATTAAAGCATAATGGAACTTGAAAACCTAATCTGTCACCTGAGCTCTAGCTAGATCTCTAGGCTGGGGGAGGTGGGAAAGGCTTGGGACAGGTGTGGGGACGAGGATGTGGTCCAAATATGAACCACAGGGAGGTAAATATGACCTCTTTCAAGATACAGTACATTTTTTTGTCAGTCCAAGTTCCCTTTTTCAGGTGTGAGTGACCAGGTGAAAGTATGGGCCTCATAGGTCATCTAGGGACAGTCTCACCCATGCATTTTACAGGTGAAGACACAGTCCCAGAGAAGTAAAGCGAATTGTTCACGACACCACCTGGTTATATAAAACCTGCCTAGGTGTTTGATAAGAGGGAATTAGAGCACCTATACTTTGGCATGCTCAGGATACACTGTTAGGTTAAAAAAAAGCAGGTCACAAAGTATGCAGAATCCTACACTCAGAAAGCTGAGGAGGAAATTGAGTGGCTTTCTTCCTAGGAACCTCTTCAGCCCCAAACCGAGTCACCTTCCCCTCGCTGTCCTCCATGACTTCTGATTGCAAACAACAACAAGGACCAAGAGAAATATGTTTAGAATGTCTCTTGTAAATTGAGAACATTCAGGAAGAAGTTTTCTTGGTAAAGAGTTGGAAAAACTTTGTTAGATCTAGATTCAGATAAAGTTTCACTTCTATCAAACTATTGGGTTGTCGGAAAAGTCATGACGTAGTTTTTCTATGTTTTTGTTGCAAAAATGCGTCATGACTTTTCTGACAACCCAATATATGGTTTGAAGAATTTCACTTCCATTTCCTTGAATGTACAGACTTGTGTATATCCACCATGAGACCCAATCTATTTTCAGTTTAAGGCGTGGGTACTTCCAGAATTGTCTGCAAAAGACAAAACAAAATAAAACAGCACAAACTGGGGATTCCAGTCTTAGGATCCATTGCCTGATATTTTTTAAGTTCAACCTTGATTCACACTAGTGAATTTATACACAGTTTATATAGATGTTGAGTTATAATTTACAGATAATAAAATGCACAGATTTAAGAGTATACTTTGGTGAGTTTTAATAAATGTATCCACCTGCATAAATATGACCTCATTCAAGATATCGTACATTTTGTCCATCCGAGTTCCCTGGTCATACTAGTGATTTAAGTGATATTAAAAGATTAGATTGTAATAACTTTGGCTTAAACTTAATTTGTTTCTAAATTTGGTGTTCTTTCCGCTTTGCTTTTCAAAGTTGAACCACTTTTTTGTCCCAGTTATAAAATGACATGTTTGTTTTTGTTTTTTTAAAAATATATAACAAATTTAAACAACATAAAAGAGTGAGGCTCTCATAATTGCATCTACCAAAGACAGATAACAATTTGTTAACAGCCTGAGGTATATCCTTTCTGATTTTATGTATATATATTTTTGTAATTCTACTTAAAAAAAAATAAAAATAGCATCATTATACACATAATGCAAACTGGTCCTTTTTTTTTTAAACGAAGTATTAGATCACAGACATCTTTCCTTACCAATGCTTACATATCATCGTCATCATTTTTTGTCTCCAATTAATTCTTCACAATATGGATGCTGTATAATTCCTTCCTCTTAGTGCCTGTTTTAAATTCTTGGGTCTGTCTTCTTGGTTGAGCCCCAAAGGCATTTGCATGTTTGTCATCAAGCTGGAATAGTTTAGAATATTCTAAAACAGGCCCTATTTGCTCTAGATTTATCATTCTCCTGCTATTCCAGGGATTGTTAGTCACTTTCTCCCCTTGCTGATTACAAGAGGCCCTGAACTGTCATCCCAGCCATTCCTGGACTGTGAGGCCAGAGAGGGGAGCCGCCCAGCGGGAAGGCAGCCCAGCCATCGCTCACATCCGGTTCTCACCTCCTGTCTCCCTTTGCAGGCACATCCTCATCTGCCTCGCCGCCTACCTGGGCTGCGTATGTTTTGCCTACTTTGATGCTGCCTCGGAGATCCCTGAGCAAGGTCCGGTTATCAGGTTCTGGCCCAGCGAGAAATGGGCCTTCATCGGTGTGCCCTACGTATCCCTTCTGTGCGCCAACAAGAAATCACCAGTCAAGATCACGTGATAGGAAGGCGGGGGCTGGCTTCTCTGCATGTTTCCTCATGCATTTTTCAGCAAAGACAGAGGGGGAGGGGGGAGGTTCTCAGAGTTGGTTGTGGAGGCAGGGAGGGGTCTGCTTTTTTTTTTTTTTTTAATTCTGTTCCCTTGGGCTCTAACTGATGTGGACCATCGGGACTCCACTCTGCCTGAGGAGAAGTGAGTGTCTTCCCCTTTCCCAAAGATGGAAAGTGGAGGGCTGAGGGCACCAGGTGTATCTTCTCAGTGTCACTTCCAGATGCAGTGGCTTGTTGGGCTGCATCCTTTGTGGCAATGATAGAGCAGTCACTTGGGGGACCCAGTGATGCACAATGACTCGCTTCCTGGAGAGTTTGCCTGCTCCGACCCCACCATTCCTGTTGACAGATTGATCCTGTGACAGGCAATACTCACAACTGATGGACAATGCCAGAGATTTTCATTTGGGAAAACTCTTAAAACCAAACCAATCAAATGAAACACTCCTGGGGCTTGTGGCTGAGGAAGCTAGTTCTCCACTTACAGCTCTCAATAACCCAGGTTTTCATGCTTTTGTCAATCCTCTTACTTCTACCTCTACTGATAGATGGAGACTTGACTTCAGATGAGAATATGCTAATGAGAAAACACCTCGATGCCAAAAACTGCTCTCCACATTAAGCCATTCTTGAAGATGAAACGTTGATGACAATGTTGACACTGTCTGTCCCCCACCCCAGCTCAGTAGCCTCAAACACACAGAGGCATAGCTGTGATGAGTAGTCCATACACCGCCTCCACCCCTCCTTACTGCTTGATCTCTGTAACATTGCCAAAGGGCTCAGGACACTTTTGCTGGGGGTCCTGGTTCAAAATTTGGCGCAAACATGAAGTTTTGGAAACTTGTTCTCGTTAGAAGCCTCTTGTGTGCTATCCTATTGGAAATGATCCTCAAGAAGCTCCCCTCTTCTTTCTCTAATATTTTTGCTGTGGGAATTACACTCCATACTCTCACAGTGTGAGGTGCTTCCTGTGGTTCTCTCTGAGCATTTGCTCGCTTTTCTCAAGTGCTCGCAGTAACTATCCACCGGCTGCTTTGGGTCACTGGTGCAGCAGGGTGAATCTGTTGCCTTCTGAGTCTTTCTCACCGAAAGTGACACTGGCTACAACTAAATCCCCTCATTGGGATGAACGGAAGACTCCAAACCTGTCTTGAAGGTGTGAGGTGGGAACTCAAGACCTCAGGGATACTCATTTTAACTCAGGCATTTCCTGCTTTGCAACATTCCATTGTGAGAGGGCAGGACGGACTGTCCATGTATGGACAGGAATCACGTCACTGTCCTGTCTCTGAGAGTTGAGCAGCAGCAGTTTTTAGCATGTCCAGGAACTCTTAGTCTCATTAGAATTTGCACAACATCAAAGGTGAAGCGTGTATTAAGGAACTGAATTCAGAGTTTAAAAATGAATGACTTTATCCTACTTCTATGGTTTTCCAATGATTTTAGCAGCAGAACCCTGTTTGCAGTAAGAATGGAACCCTAACGTGTGACATAGATTGTAATTTTTAGCTGAAATTTATTTTAAGGTTAAATTTAGAGCATCTCCTTAATATATCAGGCAGTGAAAATGCAAATTAACAATTTGGTGGTTTCCAAGGTGGAAAATTTGGTGTTGAATGGGTGTACATGTTGCTGTATTATAGTTTAAAAACATATTTAAAAAATGATATTTGAATTAAATATTTGTGGAACCTCTAATATAGCTCTATGAGACCTAGGTGGTTCATGAAACAGAATTTGAAAACAGCTAAATCCTTCGGGTTTCAAGTCTAGAATTTTTAAAAGGGAAATATCTGATTGTCCTCACTTCAGGTCTACTTGGCAGGCATGGATTCTGGTCCCATCCATTCTGCAGAATAAAAATGTGCTCAAGTAGGAGGTTTGATGTATTTTAAGCCCAACTGTCTTAGTGTGGAAGCGTAGATAAGGAGAAGCAGAGAGAGGGGAGTAGGAAATGTTTTTTGCATGTGTGTGAGGTTTAATTTCTGTCTCGAAGTTTCCTCAGTGAGGGGAGCATTGCTCCAACACTCAAGGAAGGACCATTTACCCCTATCAGATGCAGGGCTTGTTTCCCAGGGAACACTATGGCCATCTCCCAAGGCTTTGACCTTGACCTTCTGGAAGTTTCTGAGTGTCCTTTGGAAATAAGGATAAAATGTGACTCTGCTGGAAGTGAGGAAGTTAAGTGCCCAGACTCACGTGGCTATTTCCATTCCTCTACTGCAAGACAAATGACTAAATTCAGAAGGAATGCTTTTGTTGTGAAAAACACAATGCCCTTCAAGAGGTTGGTTTTAATGAGATGAGGGCTGAGAACGAAGGGTGGAATGGGACATATGTGAGGAAGACAAAAACATGTCTTCTTTTGGAACAGCAGTCACTGTAGCTTGCCAGCATGGGACGGTAAATCAAGAGGGTAGGAATATACTGATCTTATTTTAAGTTAGGTTTATGGTATCATTCATATTTATAGTTATGTTTATATTTATAATGCTTTTATAGCACTACGTGCTCTTTAAATAAAATTGGGAGACTACAGAACAGTCCAAGAAGAGGAAAAAAAAACCCAACCTGTGTTTCTATAGCCCAAAGACAACCATTGTTAATATTTTGATATTTTGGTATATTTTCTTCTTGTCTCTCCCCACTGCCCTTAATATATTTGCAAATAGATGTCTTTTAGCATTGACAGTTTACCCTGTAGCTTAAAGGGAATATAAATGCCACGAAGAGCAGGCTTTGAAGTACACTAGAGTTAGCTATCTACTTGAGAGCTAGCCCGTCACTGGATCCTGAGACGGACTACTGAGTCTTGCCTGCGAACCGAGCTTGACATCAATGGGCCCTAAGACAACGGACTGGATTCCGCTTTTTGATACACTTCTGTGCTTGGATTGATGAACCATAGGAAGTAGGTGTTAAATAGATGGCTTTACAGGTTTTGATGTCTTCAGGTTTAAAATAAGTGAATAGCTTATTAATCAGTGAATCGTTTTTTTCTCCTCCGTTAATGCAGGAAAGTGGACATCTGACATTTTAGGAGTTAGGTCATGGCGTTTGCTCAGCATGACTATCAGATTTTATTCTGGTTAGAATTTGCCCAAAATCAATAGCCAGAAGGAACTGGATTTAGTTTATTAAAAAAACCAGTATTACCAAGTGATTGTTTAAATCAATGATTCTTTTTTTTTAATGATTCTTGTTTTATAGTGTTTGATTGTTGATTTTTAGAAAGAGAAATCTTTTTCTCCCCTTTATGATTATATTATTATAAAACAAGACTTCAGTGAACGTATTAAAGGTGTATGGGGAGGAGATACCTGAATCTGTTTGGTAACAAGCTATGTTTTGGGGGAACTTTGTTCCTGTCCCTCTGAAGAGTGCCTAAAACATTAGTTATGAATCAAAGATGTACCATTGGGGGACCAAGCTTGATAGTCATCAAACATGGGCTTTGTAAAAATACCATCACCTATTCTGTTGGTAGGATTTCTCATGTGTGAAAAACATCTCTCAGCAGTCTATCATGCTTATGTTCCCCGGTGCTGTGTGGGAGGCTCCAGGACTGGGATTTGTCCCTCCCTGACATGCGACCACCTCTGGGGGACAGCTGAGGGCTGAAGACCAGCCAGAACCCCCCTCAGAGCTCCTTTTCCCTAAATGAACTTGGAAAGCCTTTCTTAGCCAGCTCTTTGCCTGGGTGCTGCCGTTCCAGCTGGCCAAAACAGAAGTCTCAGGCCAGGTTGGGATTCTCAGTGGATTTTATAGACAACATTTCCTACGGATTTTTTTTAATGGCCCCTACTCTAATTGTTTGAATTGTATCTTTCCCTATATTTTGAACCAGATTTAACACTATTTTATGACCACAGTATGTAATCAGAGCAAATAGAGCATTTTCAGATATATTCTTTCTTTTATATTTCACACTTTAGTGTGCCGTATAAGGCTGGTGTGCTCACTGTCTGTGGTAGCATTTAATCTCCGTTGCTTTGGGAGTGATTTAAGGCCTTTTGAAATGGAGCTTTTGCACTTTATGCTCTTTCTGTGAACTATGACAGCTATGTTTAATATTAAAGTCATAATGGCATTTTCTGTGAATAAATATGTGTATGTTTGTGTTTATTTCCACAATGACTTCTGAAATATCTGTGTAAAAAAATGCATTAAATGGATTTTAGAGCAAAGCACATTTTACCCAAATTTACTTACTAATGAATTTGGATTATCATTGTTATCAAACATACTTAAAATTAATATCGTTAATTGTTGGTTTCCGTTCAAAGGTATGAAATCAATACAGCTAAATATTTCCAGTATAAAGTACCTAAAAACAATTTACTGTCATTAAAAGTTCTACAATTATACAATTATAGTATATGGATATAAAATCTCAAATATAGAAAACAGTTCACCTATGCTGGATTTTATCCAATCACTAGAAGGAGGAGCATATGACATTTCAAAATAATAAATGATTTTAGCAGGAAAATTCTGTGCTTGTTTTTCTTAATTCCCCATGGCAGTTTTGTTATTAAAGCATTCAAAGGCTATCATATTTAAAAGAATGACATGATCATTAGAGAAGAACAACGGGATCAGCATAATCAGTATGATTACAGTGGTTTTTATGGCTGTTTTTTTTTCCTGGTCCGGGGTTGAGGATGCAATGGGCGGCTGTCTACAGACCCTTTTGACAATCTGTTGGAAGCAGTGGGTGTTCTCCCTAGGAAAATGCCCATACATATAATTTTGGGGGCATCCAGATGTCCCTAGAAGCCACCCAGTTAAAAAACACCTGTGTGACAGGACACTAATCTAGGATTCAAATCCTTTCTGGTGCTGAAATTGGTGTCTGCACAGCTCGGGTTCCCAACTACCCTCAGAGACCTCTTGTAAGGACTTTACATCATGAGGGGCCTGAGGCGGGCAGACCCAGGAGGCTGGGAACTTACACCTTAAGTGTCCTCAGCAAACTGGGAGCTTACATTTTCCTCACAGCCTCTCATGGTTTATATTTTCAGCTACACCTTAGAATGGTATCTGAGTCTGTCATATATTCTGTCTACTTTTGCATTGTTGAAATTTTCCATAATAAAAAAAATTTTAACTATGGTGTTTGGGTTTTTGTTCTCTCTGGAGCAGGGCTCAGCCAGCCTCCTTCTTTTGCGGTCTTAAGGGGGTTGCAGCCCCTCCACAGCTTAAGACGTTATCTTTGCCTAAAGTGGGAGCTTCCATCTCTTACAACAAGATAAAGGTCAATCTCACATGGGTTTTTGTTGGTTTATTTTAGATTTCCCATTAAAACAAGACTTGATTTCATCGGCTCTTGCGATTAAGAGCAGAGACCATAACACTATTTTTAAAATGTAACAAATAGCAATAAAGTCAGTAGAGTTTATTTTATGTATTAGGGCTGGCGATGGGAAAGTGGCTGAAGGGAAGGCCAGGAGCACGAAGTGACAGAAAATGAACAAAGGCACTGATGACATTCTCTAGAGAGGGATGCCTGTGAACAAAGACAGCCAATGGGTGGAAGGGACTGCAAGGGACTCCTGGAGTAATATCGCCATCTTGTGGCCTTCTTGAACATTGCTGTTAGTGGCACACATGAAGGCCACCCCAACTGCTAAACATCCCGGAACTCACGATAATTGTCAAAACCCCCACAAGTTATGTAGCCTCTTTCTGGAACCAAGTATGTTATCCTTGGGGCTTTTGATGCATCTCTCTGCCTTTCTTTTCCTGTCTTCTTTTCCCCTGGCGACTCATTCTTCACCGCCTAGGTGTTTGAACTTACTAGATTTTTAAAAGTTAGCCAAATACCACAAAGCAAATACTTCCTGCATATAAAACCAACCTAATGGATATGTGATATAGAGGAGTTTTTAAATCAACTGGAGTTAAATTTAATGTTGGGGACTAATAGTTTCATTTACACAAGTCAAATGCCAGTACAACCCCAAAACCTTTAAGACTGAATACTGTTTGAACCAACACTTAGCAAATGCCTGCTTTGTATTAAGTGCTGTGTGGCTGCAGAGGGCTCTGTGGTGAACATGGAGGGGGAGAAGGAGATCACTAACTGCTGAAGTCTTTGCACAAGAGAGGAATCAAGAGTGAGGCAGGAGACAGCAGGGAGGTTTGACCAGGGAGGGTTTGGGGTTTGAGAATTGTAAGCTTTAACTGATGGCCCTTGAATCATGTTTAATAATATATATTCTCAGCCAAATGAAAGAATTGGTATTCTCCCTCATAGTATTATTGTTTTCTTAAAACAAACCTTATTTGAGAGCCCATCATATAAGTTATGTTTCACACAAATTGTCCTATTTACTCCTGATGACTATTTTATGAGGCAATGATGATGATTTCTGTTTTGAATATGAAAAAAACTGAGGCTCAGGAATGTCTTTTGGACCGCAGCTATTAGGTGGAGAATCAGGATTTGAACCCAAGACTTTCAACTGCTAAGTTTAGTTCTCTTTCCACAAAGGATTTAACCTTATTGTTAAAATGGCAAAGGAGGTAAAGGTTTTCATATAGGTGGGCACCAAGTTGGGATTATCAGATTCAAAACTATCCTATTAACACAAATGATGAGATATAGAATAGCAGTTGGTATGTAGTAGGTGCTCAATAAATGGCAGCTAATAAGATAACCGGCCACCCAACAGTCCTGGATGACAGTGCTGTCTTGTGGCCACAGCGTGAGCCACACCCTGTTCCCCACATCTTTCCAGGGTGGGGGGTTTGTGTACATTGGGACCCCTCCTTCTTCTGGCTTCCTGACCAAGCTCTCTTTCTTTCCACAGTGACAGACCTGCAAACCAGTCTGCCCTGGTCACCTCCGTCTGGACGTCCAGTAGGCACCTCACGTTTGCCTTAACTTACACCTCTCCTAAACTTGCACCTGTGCACCTTCTCTAAGTGCTCTGATGGTGGAGCCCGTGGCTTCTTACAGTGAAGGGAAGCCCATGGATTCACAATCAGGTGGCCTCGGGAATCTCTCCCTTTTGCAGTTCTGAGCTATAGATTACACCTTGTTTAGCTAGGCGTTGATAGACACCGTCAAGAACAATGCGAGTGTGTGAAATTTCATTTTGCTGGTGCTGCAGGATTGAAAATGTCAGCTACTTCTGGCCACCAAAGCCAATGGAGAGAGAATTATGCCCCAGATCACAAAATGGGGACTGAGACATAAATCCTTCATTTGAAGAATGTGTGTTACAGATTGTGCTGTAGAGACGTTGTAAAATACACACATCTCGATTGAGCCCATTATCATGGTCACTGCTCATCATTGGGGGCTGTAATTGTGTAGTTCATCATGTTGTGTGAGGATGAATGAGATAATCCACACACATTCAGTAATTAGGTCATCGACTAATTGGTTCTTTTTAATAGTCAACTGTGGGACTTGAGTGTTTTTCTTATTGAGTTGAGAAAGCTTTGGGTAAGGAAGTGAGCCCTTTGGATATAGTATTTACTGTTATTGTTATTTAACATGCAAAGTTTGGAAAGTTTTAAGTGGTCATGTTTATTAATCTTTTCCTTAAAAATTGTAAATATCCAGGGGTGGTCTGTTAGCTCAGTTGGTTAGAGTGCAGAGCTCATAACACCAAGATTGCTGGTTCGATCCCTACATGGGCCACTGAGGGGCGCCTTCTATATCTAGATTGAAACAACTCCTTGACTTGGAGCTTGATGGGTCCTGGAAAAACACACTGTTTCTCAATAAAATTAAAAAAGGAAAATTGCAAATATCCATGTGTGCGCCAGGCATCCAGGCACGGCTGCCTTTTAATGTCATTTTTGAGCTTCAGTTGATTGAGTCCTCACAACAACCTGAGGTGGGCACTGCTATTGTGCCCATCTGACCACCCAGGAGGTGGTTCTCAGCGGAATCCCCACCCAGCAGGCCCGTGGGAGGCTCTGTTCACCCATTGGTCACAGAGGACAGAGAGGCTAGTTTCCTTTAAGGAGGGGAAGCGTGTGAGCCTGGGCAGGGAGGAAGGCCTTGGGGTGAAGTGGGGGGCACAGAGTCTCAGTGACAGGCTATGTAAAGTGTGACAAAGCCCTGCAGGAAATTCTGATAAGCCCAACAGGATGTGCCCTCCTGAGATGTAGGTTCCGAAACCTACCTAATCTGGAAGAACAGTGGAGGAGAAATGTTCACCAGGGCAGTTTTGATTCCAGACCTCCACTGCCTTAGTCTAGATTCCAGGATAGCACCCCCAGTTTTTTTTTTTTTTTTTTTAGCTGAGCCATCCTGCTACCTGTTGGCAGCTCAGCTGCTGCTCAGCTCGGGCTGGACTCGAAACCGCTGTTGCTCAGAGCTCAAACTCTTGAGCGAGCTCTTAACCAACTGAGCCACTCGCCCGGCCCCTACCCCCAGTTTTTTTCAAAGCCACCTTCAATAGAAACTCTCTTGTTTTTAGCTCCCCCCCCCCCCCCCGGATTATCTGCCAACCAACCACCGGATTTGGCCAGCTGTCTGTGGAATCGAAGCTGGATCTCTGACTTGAACTTGCAGTCCTGGTTGGGCCAGGGAGCAGCTTGGTGAGTCTGGGCAGGTGGAATTGCTTTGTAAACAAACTACAAAAGGGCTGTGTGTGAAAGCATAGGGTAAATATTTATGGTGCTCTTCAGTGGATGACATCTTTAGCTGGTGACAAGTAACCTTGCTGATGTGGGTCCTCTTCATCTGCAGCACAGTTCAGTGTTGCCCTACAAACACCCTCGGACTCAAGTGAACACTTCTCTCCTTCCCAACAGCACACCACCACACTGAATACCCTCCCCGTAGGCTCCGGCACTTCTGTTCTCTTTGCCCAGCATATCATTCTCCCCCCTCCACATTTTCAACACCCTTACTTTTATACTTGCCCCTGCAGGACGCTGTGTACCTAGTACCTCCTTCAGGAAGTTATCTCCTGATTACTCCCCTGCCACACCCCTTAAGGCTGATTTATGTGCGCTTCCTCTGTTTCCATAGCAACTTCTATTTTCCTAACACGGAGGGCATTGCATTGTATCTAACTGCTTTTGCCACTGGAAGAGTCTGTGGCTTGTTCATTTCTTCTATCTGCAGAGGTACAGGTCCCTCCTAGTAGTCTAGAATCACTGAATATTTGAATTTGCAGGGATTTTAACCATTCCCTAGTATCACATCTTCGTTTTACAGAGAAAGAAATGAGCCCAGGAAGATTTCGTGATTAGCCCAAGGGCCACAGAGCTACTTGGTAACAACTGAGCTTGGAACTCAGGCCTCCTGACAACATATACTTTCCCCCCTCCCTTTGGAATCAGTGAAGCTGGGATTTGAATGCTAGCTTGTCCCTGTACCAGTCGTGTGACTGAGCAAATTGCTTTACTTCATGAGTGTGTTTGCACATATGGAAGACAAGAATAACAGTACCTGAGACCCAACATGGCTGCTGTGAGGATTAATTAATCTATGGTGAGCAGAGAGGTCAGTGCTTGGTACTG